AAATGGCACAAACAGACTCCACCAGCCAGTGGAATTGAGGATGGTTTATTGCTCCTCCAGGATACAGCATAGCACAGATGTAATCTGGTTACAGGAACTGGGGCTAAGAGGCCTCAGTGCCCCCCCTTGAGCTGGGGGAGTCCCAGCCCCCCTCCCCAGCTCCTTCTCCCCTGCTTTCCAGACAGGAACTAACTCTACCTCTCCCAGCCCTGCCCCCAGCCAGGGCAGCCTTCCACCTCCCTTTGTTTCTCCCCATAGGGGGTAGTAGGCTGGTTCAACCGGTATGATACCTTTGCATAATAAGGTTTTCCCTGATGGGTCTTGCTCCAGACAGCAGAGGTCACCACAGCCCAGCAAGTACCCCCACTACATCATAGGAGGTTACTAGGGATGTGAATGGTTAACAGGTAAGCATCACCCTTGGTGGATGATGCTTACCGGTTACAGTTAACCAGTGTGGGCTGGCACTTTGTGCCCCCACTCCTTAGGGCTCCTAGCATCTCCATGACAAATCAGTAACAACCAGAGTGGTTCAAGTCCACACTGCGAAGTTCCCAACATCAATGAAGGCACAATGAGCAACAACTTTGATGTGCAGAGAGAGCAAGGCAAGTAACCACACTTCAGAAACACACCGTTACAGACATGTGTATGTCCTGCGTTTGCAAAGACTTGACCTTTTCTTCCAACAGAACCACCAGCATTTGCACCAAGCTATTTCTGGGAGTTCATGCTATGCTCTCAGAGGGATTTAACTCTCCACAGTATAGGTCCCAGCATTGCCAATGCTCACGATTTTATCTTAAGTGTCATAATAATGGTTTTCCTTAAAACGCCAACTCCTGGAGTCCAGTGGATAGGAGATTATCGCAGCCTTCATCCTTACGGAAAAAGTGTGTTTCTAGTCCTCAAGGATGTGAAGAAATGCTTCAGAATGAGACTCCAATGCACCCTAAAGGTTCAGTAAGCAGAATGCGAATAAAACCACCGTATCTATTCCTTGGCTTTAAAATCCGGAGATTACATACAATCTCATGGGTTTTGTGAGCTTAACTCGTGATTTTTTAACATATGGGGTTGGCAAGCCTGGCTCCCCTGACTGCTGAAGCACCCTAATCAGACTGTTTAACGAGGACATGATGCATGTGCTACCGCACTAGTTTACAAGAAGGAGTGAGCTGCATTTTGCTACAGATGTGGTACTGGACCGTACTATTTCTTTTAGGTAAGCAGCCCCATAGCACTTGCCCTGAGGTTTGCACCTTTGTTGCTCTTGCAACCAACCATCAAATAAATAAATAAAATTAATCAGTGTTTGAGGAAGTCTCCCACAAGACCACAGCGCTTTGCACATTGGGGGCACCCTCAGTAGAAGCCAGTCTGTGTCCCAAAGCCAGCACCAAAGGGAGTGTTTTTCCTTTTTCTTTATTTATTGAATAGGTGCTGCTGGAGGTACAAACACACGAAAGTCCGTGTAGGACAAGGGAAGGAATTATCCCTCCCATTGATTTTCGCTCTGGGATATTAGAAAGAACACAGCATTTATCTGGAGATTTCTTCCCAAAGCCAACTGCAGACTTTCAAACAGAAACGAGACTTGAAAGGAGCTTATCGGACAAACGATCGGATGAAACCATCATCACTGAGAGTGGGAGCCCTGGCAGAGAGCTCTATGATCCCATTGTTCCTCTGTGGACATCTGAAAGCAACTGTTATTGTTGCCCAACTTCAAACAAGCAGGCAAGAGAACACAGAGGGGAGAGCCCGACCCACCAGGGCACAAAGGGTTTTCCACGTTTCCTTCTTTCCAGAAATGCATCACTTCTCTTCACCACTCTGCCTCTTCTGGTGAGACCCGCAAGGCCCCGTTCCCCAGAGCTGGGACCCTCCTTCCCGCCACCACAGCAAAGCCAGCGTTTCATCGCTCAAACCACCCAGTTTCTAGGTCACAAAAGAGAATTAACCGAGAGGGCAAGAGTGAGAGAAATAACGATTTGTACAGCTCTGCACAGATAGGGAAAGGTGAACACAACTGAATATTGACGATGTGGTCATACTATGTCCCTACCTCATTTCTTCTCATCCAAACTCATGGGGAAACAAAGGCTTGTGACTAAAAAGCACAAGAAAGCCCCCCGGGAGACCTCACAGAGAACTCCTGGATAGGTGAGTGAGATTCACTACACAACTCAAGTCCAGGGTTCTTCATACGAACAAAATTCATGCACAATGGTAAACTCCAACTGATGTGTGGTATTGCTACCTAGTCCCTAACTCTCCCGCCCCGCCATTTCACTCCCTTTCCTCCTGCCCCATCAACCCACTAGCTCAACCACCACAGAATTCAAACGCCCCATCTCCCTTTCGCTCTCTTCTCCAGCGAACGGGAAGGTCGTAATTGGCGAAGCAGGAGATTAGAAATATCGGCAGCCTCTAAGTAAGACTTTAATTTACTGGCAGATCAATAGCGCTAGGGTTATATTGGCAAAGTGTCTACAACTCTATTGACTCACGCAATTCCTCTTATCAATTTATCAGAAATCTGGAAGCCAGAAGATATTGTTTGAAGAAAAAAGGCAGGCAGCAGCTTGAGCATTTAGTATGTGCTGCCCAATCGGGATCTCAATACTAAGCATTTTAAAAACAGGGCCTCTTCCCTCCCTCCCCCTCGCCGCCCCACACACACACACACACACACACACACACACAAAATGATTAAGAATTAACTTTCATCCTCACATTACTCTCAGGCTTTTCAAGTGGCTCCCTGTACCTTAGACCAGTGTTTCTCAACCTTTTCTTATAAAGTACCCCCTTTTAAAAATATAAGTACCCCCAGTACCTACAGTTTTCAGACACAACATTTTTTTCTACCATTGCAACACATTTGTTTAAACAACTTAACTGAACCCAGGCAGGCGATGACATTTTTGGGTGTAAAAAGTACAAAAATAATAAAGTACTGTAAAACATAACACAAAAATTCCCCCCCCCCCCCCCCCCAAATTTCTGTCAGTTACCTCTAAGGGTACTTTACCACGGGTTGAGAAACACTGCCTTAACACAGAGATAGGACAGGAACCACCCCTCATCCTGCAACCAGTATGATTTGAACCAGAAAATATGCATTTCATAAACTCCAGTCCCAAAGTCAGGCCCCCTCCTGGGTTTCACACAGATTCAGATTCCTTATCACTCACAAGAAGACTTGAAAGATCAGAGGACTTCACACTGCCATTCCTCCTTCCCCACCATCTCCAATAGGAAACAGCACCTTATTCACCAGGTAACTGCTGAGAGAAGTCTTGAAGAGAGAGCGCACAACACCCCTACCCTCAGGGAACAGCAGCATGAGAGAAGCATTTATTTTGTTCAGGGGTAAATCACAACCTGTTTTTTGACTGGCCACAGATACATACCATTTGCTGTTCTGCATTTTGTTGTGACAGGGAACAAGCAATATTTAAGACAAACAAAGACTTGGTTAATGAAATTGCCTTACAGTTAGCACAACTGACCTAGAGAAGGAATTTAGCTCCCAGCTCCACCCTGTCCCTAGGAAAAGCTACTGCCCCCAAATGTAACGTGAATGAGAGAATCAAAAGACTGGAAGGGGCCTCAAGAGGTCATCTAGTACAGTCCCCTGCACTCCTGGCAGGCCTAAGTATCATCTAGATCAGCAATGGACAATCTAGGCTAGTGAACCTCATCTCAGTGAGCAGTAAAATTGCCATAACCAAGATGGTGTCTCGTGATAGGGTAATTTTGCTAACTGCGCTTGCATACCTAGAACCTGCAGGGTGTGCCGACTGAACTGTAGCAGCACCTGGATTAGATGCAGTGGGAGTCAATGTTACGTGCCATCCGCATGCACTTCACAAGCCATTCACATGTCATTTTAGTAACGCCAGTAAGAAAAAAAGCATTGCAGATGGAAACAGCAGAATCTGGCAACCCTGCATGTGGGCAACAGTAAACACAAAAGGCTTGTTGGCCACAGGTTGACCACCACTTATCTCGATCATCCCTGACTGGCATTTGTCTAACTTGCTCGTCAATATCTCCAGCGATGGAGATTCCACACCGTCCTAGGCAACTTATTCCAATGTTTAACCACGCCGAAAGGAAGTTTTTCCTAATGTCCAACCTAAATCTCCCTTGCTGCAATGTAATCCCATTGCTTCTTGCGAAGTAGTGCCACAATGAGAAGGAGACTCTTGCCCTTTGGGTATTCTCCAGAAACACTTTTGCAAGTAGCAGGCCGCAACATCTGCAAACAGAAATATGAAATATCACACACACCCCCAGCAGGCTTGATGAGACAATCAGAGAGTTTCATTCATAAACTGATCTGGTAGCCAGAAAATCCCCACTCACTCCATTTGCCTGGACAAGGAATGTTCTTAGGAGAGGACAGTTCGAGCGATGCTCTTGTCCATTCCTGGAATCAGACAGCAAGGAGTCTGCCCATAGTGACACTGCAAAGGAAATCCAGCTATCCACGTAATGCAGCCAGGTGTGTCCTGCTTATCCACAAACAGAGAGGTGGAACATTGGGATTCATCAGCAAGCTGGATCTCAGCTTGTAAGAGCATCACCAACACTCCAATCTAGGAGGGCCAGTTTACAAACTCCAAGTTGCACAGACTTGGCCACAGTGTCAGTGCAGTTGCTCCATACCTTTACCGAGCAGCACAGTGGCATATTGCAAGCAACTAGCGCTCTCAACTGCTACTTCTGGGAGAAGTGCACTGGTGCAGGTATGTAAAATGCTAGCACATACTAGGCCCTACGTGGACTTGTCGTTTCCAAAGTGCACCGCTCCTTCTTACAAAAAGGCAGACAACCCTGGCTGCAAACTTAATATCTGGCTGCAAACTTCCATACTGTCAAGAATATGAAGACAATACAGAACACATGCAAAGACGAGCTCTCCTATGGGATTCCTCTTCCAGAAGGTACACAATGGCAAGAATATCTAACAAGAAATCTGTTGGTACCTTTCATTCTCCAGTCCTCTCCAGCCTGCCCAAGGTAAACCAGGGACCCCACACACCACTTAGCAGAACATATTCAGTGTTGACACTCAGCTGGAAACTCAGATAAGCATGTGAAAAAGCCAAGAACTGCAGATAATTTTCAAAGGCAAAACTTTCCTGCAAAACAAAGTGAAATTTAAAGGCCAGGCTTTCTAGGTGAAAGCTCTTCTGCCCCGCCCTCCAGCAACCTTTCCCAGAACTAAAATGCTGACCCTGCTGGAGTGAACACCCAGGAAGGATTTCTATGCCCAGTCTCACCATATGAGCAAGGGTCATGAAACTCACTTCTGTGTAGTCCAGAGGCAGGGTCCCACAGAAGCGGGGCTGTATCTTGCTCCTCCCAGGTCACAGACCAGCTTGTTAGCATCAGAATGGAGCAGGAAGGAATGAAACCCTCCCAGCCTCCTTAATCTCCTCTCACAGCCAGAGTGAATAATCAAGGTAACAGGGCTCCACAAAGAGAAGCAAAACTATCTACATTTGTCTGATGCTTGTGAACAAAGCAGACTTGGGGCCTAGGTGCTCCTCAACCCCCCTGCAGAATTCAACGCCCTGTTAAGGCAGGAAGGAGAGCACCTAATGAATATCTAGCTCCGCGAGGAACTTCGGGACTGAAAAGAACAAGGCTCTTTCCCATTCACCAGCCAGGGCAGCACAGGCCTTCCAGCTGTTCGGATGCCAGAAAGCCCTAACCCACATCCTTAGGCAGGAATAAGAGGGACAGGCTGGCCTGAAGGAAAACACTGAGCTGCCCAACACCTTCCCCCGCCCGGAGCTCATTTCAAACCTCTCCCACAGAACAAACAGGCCTTCCCGGTGCTTGTGGGGCAGGCTGAGTCACCATGGCGACAGGAGCCCTGCTCACACTAATGTCTGCCTGCCCCAGCGTGGGGGTGTGAACGCGGCGCAGGGGAGGGCAAGGCTGCAATCCCGCGCAGGGTTACCATGGCGCTCTCTGGAGGAGAGATGCTTCAGGCCTGCTGGCCAAGGCACGGAGCGAGACGGCCAAGTGAAGTCTAGGCTAGTGGGTCGAGCACAGGCCGGGGAGCTGAGTGCCGGGGGCTCCAAGGAGGAAAGGTGCAAGGAGATTAACTCCTCAGGGGAAATGCCATCAAGAGGGGTTGGGAGCCGAGTGCCACCAGCAGAGCCTGAATCCCTGTTTCTATCCCTCCACACGGCCCCGCTTCCCTGCAGGAGCACGCCAGGCTGCAGGAGTCTGAACAAGAGGCCAGCTCAGTGTCTTTTGGAAACAAAACCCCTTTCGATTGACTGGAGACTGTCCCCGCCACTTAGCGGCTCTCCTCCTTTTAAATGCAGATTTGAACTTTTCACCCAGGGTCAGGCCGCTTCAGCTCACCCCATCCTCAGCAGGGGCTAGGCGCCAGCGCCACGCTTCCCTTTCTCTCCAAGCCCAGGCAGCAGCAGAGACCAGCTCAGCCCTGGCTTGGAAGGCACCAGGCTCCAGCCACGCACCCACAGTCCAGGCGCAAAGCCGGGCACTGCATTCTCCTCCCCCAGCGGGCGGGGTGGGGGGGTAGAGGTTGGAGTTTCCAGCCGGGAGTGAAATGGCCCTACCAGAGTCTCCCAATTGGAACTGCCTGTAAAGAGCTGTGGAGCAGCCAATGACAACCTCAGCGGGTCCTGCCTGGAAATAGAACGGCACCCATCCTCCGTTGCCCAGGTTTCATGCCAAGCCCTCTCTCCAGTAGCTGGCTCTCTACTTACCTAGGCTGTTTGGAGCACAGAAAGCCCCTCCGAAGGAGTCCCTTACCATAAGCATTTGCAGAGTGCGCGGATGGCTGCTGCCCAGGGGCACTGCCTTGCTTGGCTCTCTCTGGGACATGCAGGAGATGCAGCTGCTGAGTGAGCGAGCAAGATGCCCATCCTACATGCCAGTATTCGGTGGTGACAGGGTCTGACAGATGCTGGAGACATGTTCTGTCCCAGAACTGCCAGAGAAAGGTCACTTCACCTCTCCAGCCTTGCGCTGACCATGCTGGGGACGTTGCCCGTGCCAACGCCATGTTAACAGAGGCGCGAGGAGCACTAGCATGAGCCCATTCCAGCTATTTTATGGGTGTATCATCCCCCTCTGCTCAGAGCAGCTGCAGATAACAGGCTGGCATAAAAACGGTGGCAGCCTCTCTCCATCCGCACTCCCAATTTTGCAAGAGCCAGCGTCACTGCCCCGGTGTCTCAAAACCTCTGCGTTGGATGCACTTGTTTCTCCAGCGTCCAGCTGTAAATTGAGGAGACTGTATCCCTGCCTCATACAGGTGCTCCTCAGAGCGGCTCTGGCACTGCAGTACTGAGCACCATCTCACAGGCATGCACTTTAACTGCAACTGAGATCCTGCTACTGTCCTCACTGGGCACCACGCATGGCTTCCTCCTCCTCACCACACCACA